ATTAATATTTAAAAATACATACTTGAACACTAGGCTTGACCAGTCGCGAGTAGTCTCTAGTAGCGCCGAACGAGATTGTTCAGAATGCGATCCCCTTTACTTAATACAATTGGACATCAGTGGTGTCTCTCTAAATACTTGGGATATATGAATATAGCCAATTTTCGCCATCGATTCACCTTCGTCTACTGATGTTACACGCACGAGGCCTAAGACTTTCACAACAACCAAGCTCAGCGAAAAGGATCTCTTCGCGCGCTATGAACACCCATCCACGCACCTCTTCTCCGAAGAAAATCTCATGACATAACACATGTTACGCAGTCCAGTGTCTCTTTTTACCAAGTCTATATTTGCTTTGCATTTGTTTAGGTATGAACATCTTTTCATCAAATTTTACCCCAAGATATCACCTGCATTACCTTTAGGCGCACAACAATGTGCCCTTGCATCCACTGCTCACCCATGCATTTCGTTATCGAATTCGGAAGTGTTAAGTGTTCCCTTATATTCATTTTATTCAGATCTTCGGATTCTTACAATTTAAACTAAATATGCAGCTCTATTCATCTGCCTTGTCTTCTTTACTTTCGCTTCCTTCCTCCTCCTCTAGTCCAGCCAGGTACTTGGTGCATAAACTTTTGAGCTGTCCCTTGCTTTTTTGGTGCGTGTTGAGCTTGATATCTCTCTCCATAGCCTGCACATTTACGTGATGTATATGAACAATTGGTTAGCTACAATACTCTCAAGTCAACAGCGGGACTCTGCCTTATATGCTAAACTGGCCCGAGTCATCCGTTCGCGGGTTTGAATGGTTGTGTTCGAGCTTTGTAGTTGACGTTTGTATTCACATCAGATATGTACGTATCCCTATGTGCTGCACATCAGTGCTCAACAGGCCATGGCCTCGTAGTTTGTGCCCCGCACGACTGAGTTTATATGTGTGATATGCAGATATATGGCTATGTTCCGTATGATAAGCGTAGACGACTCTCTCCGCCGTCAACAACTCTCTCACACACACCGCTCATATGGGCCTGTCCACAGATAAAACAACAAGGAACTGATCCAAATCTGAGGTAACTTGCACGTATAGTAAGACCAGATCCAAAGCTGGCCCGACTATGGGGTCGCTTTCGCGCACAGTCAAACAACATGATCTAATGCTGATCCAAATCTGGGTGAGTCGTGCAGCCCAAAACCTAACCAGTCACCTGGCAGCTGCGCAAGTGTGCTCTATCGGTTTTAACTTAATGGACTAGCCCCACTGCCAAATACACGGAGAACTCAACCGTATGCAACACATTGGCTATATCTTCTGACATCGACATCATAAACCAAGTTGAACATAACCGCAGGCATCGTATTCTCCGGTAGATAATAACACGAGGACTATACCCGCGTACCGTATGTCTAGTTGTATACCGCCTGTTCTATCTTTTGTCTCTCACACAAACCTTGAAGTCGTCTCCGTGTTTCTTGATCAATGCCTGGGCGAGTTGTTGCTGGCCGTCCGAGAGTGCAGTGACGATCTTTGTTTCGAGTTTGCTGTAGTCTTGCAGAGCTGTCAGTAGGGGAACCTCATACGGATGAGCATATCTTTCGGTCGCATCCCGGTAACCACGTGTGAGTGTCCCTTGTGATATATATGCATGTATTCTTGTATGTATGTATTAGTGCATGTGTATATGGCTGCATTGTCTCTGTATATTATATAAATATATATATATGTGTGTGTGTGTACGTGTATGAATATGTATTTATTTTTGTAGAGGTGTAGGGCTTGACAGTCTGTCCCAGTATCGTATATAAAATGTATCTGTATGAGATACTGCAAAATATGTAAAATATGTATGTATCTATGTCTATATGTATGTCTATATGTATGTATGTTTTCCTGTGTATATGAATGAATGTAAGTATGGGCGTATATATATATATATCAACTTGGTATATATCAATATATAAATATGTATATATATTAATCTATATCTATAACAAAAAATAACAAAGCATGTACATATTTACATAGATACATACATAGATATATGCATACATACGTGCATACAGGAAATACATGCATACATACATACATACATACACGCACGCACGCACGCACGCAGACACACACACATATATATATATATATATATATAGGAATCGTACCTGATATTGTTTTCGTTGGATTCTGGGCCGCTCGTAGTCGCGCGTACTCCTCCTGCGCTACAAATTCCACGTGATCATCTGCTCTATGTTGTGCTATTGAGTTGGTCTTGTTTAAATCCAGGGCTAGTCCCAATTTCTTATAATTCTGGGTCACCGTTTTGGTGACATCCCAACCCTAA